TCTTTCCCTGAAACTAGGGCACTTACAGAATGGGAAGCTAGCTTCATAAACAGTAAGGTATTGTCACCTCTTTCCATCCCTTTTCAATAGATGTCAAAACCAGCTAAAATCTGTTTCTGTTTGAGGCTGGGGAGAAAACTAGTATTTAACGACCCAGTCTGTTTGTTTTCCTAATGATTGTACATCTAGTGATTTAAAGGGTTCTCATGTGGACATTTGTCACCTGTTCCATACAGCGACCAATAATTAGAGCAAAACAACACATGGAATGGCCAAGTGCAAATTAACAGCTGTCAAGCTGACTTCCATTTGGCAGGAATATGACCTGAAGCAACCGGCCACATCCATCTATATCCCTAGGGTAAAACAAGTTTGCAGTTGTCATAAGTGGCTGCTGGAGAAAATCCACAAGAATCTGTAATACAGTAGATAGTGGAGCATTCTCCTCAGCACTAGAAATGAGGTATATGCAACTGCTGTTATCTGAGCAATGCTCATTCTAAAGAAAAACAGGTTCAGCACCTTTTAAATTGAAATTACAAAATGTATTGAATATGGTAGACAAAAGAAAGTGCGATTCATTTTTATATCATTTCCAAAATAACGATGCTTAAAGACTACATCAATTGTAATGTAAATTTTCAATGACTAGCCACTCCAGAATGAAAGATGTCTGGGGGTCAGTGGATGAGATATACCTACTCATGGAGAGACTGAAGATTTTGGTAAATGGCACTGCTATTAAGAAAAGTGATGGGGTGGTTTTACTGTCCACAGGAATATGAAAATGGAAGACTCCCAAACAGGAGAGAGACACAATAATGACAAGACCAAAAATAGAGAGTCAGAGGAGAGAGAAGCAGGAGAGACTGTGCAGTCACTAGAATAAATGAGAGAGAGGAACTGACTGGGTTTCTTTCAGGGGGAGATTTCTGTTTTATTGGAGGGACTCATCAGTGTCAGAGGCAGCAAACTGCTCTAGGCAGGAAGAAAAAGCCAGCTGATTCTGAGGAAAAGCTGTAGTTCCTAGGGCTCTGAAAGGGTGCTGCAGACTGGTGGGGGAACTGAGGTGGGGGAAAACAAATGTAGGTACGTTTGCCTATCGGTGTAAATGTGCACAGCTCTTTTAATAAGCATCTGAAAGTAAAGAATGGTTGTGTCAGAAAACCTTGTGCAAAGTCTGTTTGCACTTCCTACATGCTATACTTGTCATGTGTTCCTGAAGAGATAGACCCGACCCTTCCTCAATTTTGCTTGCATGGTTAAAAGTCTTGGGTGGACACTGGCCTTTCTTCATCTCCCTCTGCTTCTCTCCAGTCCTGTCCCATGCCTCTTCATATATATACAAAACATATGCATATATTTATATGTATGGATGTATGTATGCATACACAAACAATTCCCATAAATTCTCATGCATACTGATTTCCTTTAATTTCCCACATTCCCTAACTCCACTGTGATCCGCCTCTTCATAGGTTGTGTCCTCCTTTTCCTTATTTCCCAGGCAAGAGAGCACAGACAGCACCGAATAGCTCTGCTGCCTGTTCTGGTGCCCAGTTTTTGAATTTCTTAGGACAAGATTGCTGCAGAGGAAGTCCTTCTCAGCCCAGAGCTGTGGCGTCACGCCATGGTGGCTGTGCTGTGGTCCCCGCGGCAGGGCCCACGCAGTACAGCAATGGGGAGGGTTTCTGCATAAGGCGTCTTCTGTGATTTTAGCCACCAAGCTCCAACAGACAAAGGAAAGCTACAGATTTTGGAGGTCTATGTTTGTACCAAATATGGGCAGGTTTTCACAAAAACAGCAAAAAACATTTTCTTGTGGAAGTAGTTGGGGACCTTCTGTCAAATTTTAAAACCCTATTGACTGAGATTTAAAACAATCAGCCCTCATATGGGCATTCAGAACAAACACACACAAAACAGACAATATAGGGACATCTTAGGCACTTAGCTCCCTAAATGAAGGAATTGCTAAAAGGCTCCTCCTACCCTAAACCGGTAGAATAACCACAATTCATTCAATCAATGCCTCTCTGCAAATTAACTTATTTGGATGTTTTATATGTACTTTTGAAAGCTTTCCCAGCAGAATCGCCCAGAATGCTGCATCCTGCCTTAAAAGAAAATTCCAAATAATACCATGTTTAAGAGAAAGGAGAGCAAACTTTCTACTTCCCCCAATTAAAAAGAAAACAAACACCCCCAAACCAACACCTCTCCCCCGCAAAAAAAAAAAAAAAAAACTAGCAAGGGGAGAGAGGTGTAGCCTTTTAGGATTATGATTTAAAGTGAATGACAGAAAACAACAAATTTGATCACTGAAAAAAATAAAGGACTGATCTAAAACCTTTGTGGGCAGAAAATAGATAGTCAAAACCTAACATTAACAACTGAGCAAAAAAAGAGCCGACAATACTGAACAATCCTAAAACCCCTCAGAATAATTCAAACGTAGCTGTGTACAATTTCCAAGGAGAAGAAAGTAAGGAACAAATGTGGTTACTGTGGTTTTCTCTAAGACTAGCTAAAGATCAAAGATCAAGGTAAAAAAATACATTTATATTAAAAATGTCAAATGTAGAGTTAATGAGAGCTAGTTAAAGTGGGCACAAAAAGAAACGTTTAAAAAAAAAAATCTAAACTGCAAAAGGTCAGACAATGTGTGGCAAAAAACATTACCTTTGCCTTCTTAGCGTATAGGCAACATAAAAGTTGGGTTTGGTTTATGATCATTAGTGTTATACAAGTACGAAAAAATCTGTACATTAATGAAATCTGAAGAGATTAAACTGGAGTTCTTATTGGTGTCAGTAACTATACATAGGGAGTAAAAGAGCAGAAGCATAAGCAGAAAAAAGACATTCAGAGGACTGAACCACAGAGGCTCTGATTCTCCTCTCACTTGCACCAATTTTTTGCTGAGGCCACTTCACAGATCTCAGAGAGATTAATCATGATTTCCACAGCAAATCAAGGATGTAGCTGAATACTGAATGAGTGTAAAATGCAGACAGTGCTAAAACAAAGAGAACAAAAAGCATCTGTGGAAAGCAAACTGAACGTAAGTTGTATGGTACCGTGTCTGGGGAAAAACACACCAATACCAAATTCTGTGGTGTATGTGGAGAGACATTTTTACTGAAACAGGGAAATAATACTTTGTATACTTCTGGTTTTTTAGGAAGGCTGCACTAGGAATTGGGCAATCCATCCCAGGGACCTCATCAGAATGTATGTACGGACAATCTCAGAGACTTCTGCAAAGAAGAGAAATGCCTGTTGTGCTTGAGGGACAGACTTCTCTGAATGAATGAAAGAGGTAAATGTGCATAGCAGGGCTGAGAGATGACTAGAGTACAATAAAAAGCTATTTGCGGAATAAGCAGTTAGGAAAATTGAAATATTTAAGGTTACAGAAAGAAGACTATTTAGGTAAAAGTACCATCCAGACAGACCACGAGAGAACCTCTCTTGCGATGAGATATACTGGATTGTGAGCAATGTGAAAACAAAGCAGCAGAGCCTGGACCTTAGGCATTTCAGGTAACTGTGAATCAGCTGAGCACCACTGACCTGGTAGCTGACTTGGGCTCCTATCAGATCAGTGTCAGGATGTGGACATCAGCTTCCCATGAAAGACTGCCCAAGTTCAGAGTCCTTCATCTGTCTCGTCTCTTTTTTAAGGAAGATTACCTTTCTTTTCTGCTCCAGAGGTAAGGAAATATTTTGTTACCTTATAAATTACTACTGAAAATCCTAGGTACCATCTGTAATTTCTTTAAACACTTGCTTTGAAAGGCTGTTCCTAGCTGTTACTGCTATAAATCTGAGATAGCAACAAAAGGCTTAATTAGATTTACATACAAAGCACATTAAACACAAAACTTCGTATAGCCCTTGTAGATTCTTCCCTTAGAAGAATGTGGTCACTTTGGCTGCATGTGTAAGAATGGAGAAGTTCTGAAAACCTTAAAAAACTGCTTCCACATCCTGTGTACTGAGTTCCAGATGACAATATTTCATGCCTATATAGTTTCTTGAAATCCAAAGAAAAAAGTCAAAGTGCTTTACAAGGTATTATGTACACATGCCCAGAAATGCAATTACTGGGTAGCGGTGGGTGGGTAGCAGCTGCTTGGCACGTCAAGTGGGTTTGCATGTGTACTGAGGAGGGATGATGGAGGGAGCTGTAATAAGTAGAGCAGGTCTGAGAATACAGGTTAAGGTATGGCAAATGTAAGAGGAGGTATGCTG